CTGATTACAGGCAAATGAGGGTAGCACAGTTTTGCTGGTATCTGTCTGTGTGTGGAGGCAGAGGGAGAGACACAAAGGAGATGGATTGGGACAGCAGGAAGAAAGGGATGCTCCATCTAGAGAAGGTGACACAGGTATGAAGATGGTGCGTCAAATGGAGAAGCCAGAAAGTTCTGTCCTAGTCAGGATGTAGAATCATAGAATTCTGGAAGGTACCTTCAAATGTCATAGCCAGCCCCAGCCCCAGCCCCAGCCCCAGCCCAGGTGTGTGCTGGTCAGGTGTGTGTCCCCTTGCCCTTCACAATGTGAGCACAGAACAGACCACTCACAGAAAGGACCATGTTGCCATAAACAAAAACACTCCTTCAGCTTTCCCTTGATCCCTTCTGAGTGCTGCAAACATTCCTGCCAAGACAAATAATTATTTTAAATTTTTTCAGGACAAAATGATTCCTGTTGGATGCTGGAGCAGGGATTTGGCTGGGAGTGGAAGAGCCAGTTTCCAGGAGAGGGGAGTTCAGCAGAAGACTCTCTTCCTAGAACTGACTCATTAATTACTTTTGCTTAATGGTCTTCTAGACAGCTCCTAATAATCAAGAATGCCACAAATCATAGAATCATAGAATGGGTTGGGTTGGAGGGGTGTTCAGTTGGTCCTTGCTCAAGGTTTGCTGAATCTACAGAAGGGAGACCCTGGAGAAAGAAGGACAGTGTTGGACAGGTCTGACATTCCCCCTGAAAGCAAATGTGAGGGCAGAGAGCTGAACTCTTCCCCTATTTCTAGCTGCAAGGTCATGCTGCATCTTCAGGCACCCAAGCCCTGTCTGGTATTTGCAGTATTCCCTGCTAATTCCAATTTCATTTGCAGTCTAATCCAATGTGGATGTGCAAAACCGCATAAACTGTCCAAAGAGCCGGGCGTGCTGGCTGGGTTTGGGCCTCACCTGTTAGCGCGGTGCTCAGCTGCGGCTCGTGTGTCCGTGGGGATCTTAGCAGCAGTTGGAGGAATGATTCAGGCAGTGTTTCTGGGAGATGGCCAGGAAGGACAGGAGTGGTGCTCTGTGCTGCACTAGTACAAAAATGATTAGAGCATTAGAGCCATGCCAGAGGAGCAAATAAACCAGCAGATGCATTTAACCCTCCCGTCGTGCTGGGGTGTGAAGCCCGGCAGGTGCTGTGATCCAGAGGGGAGGCAGTGGCAGCAGGGCTGGGACAGGGGCTGCAGACATTGCCCACATGCTTCCCCTCAGCTTGGCTCCGAGCTGCTGCTCCTCCTTGTGAAGAATTCACTGGAGCTATTTTTAAGAGCACTGCCCAGGGAGATGGCTGAGGGTGCAGTTGGGAAATGCTCATCCTGGCAGCGCTGCCTTTTGGGACGGGGAGCACCAGTGTGGGTTTGTAAAGGTCCCTCTCTGCGTTTATTTCCTCCAACTGGATGTGTTTAGTGTTCCTGGCTCATTGTCTAGTGCTGCCTTGAAAAGGGTCTTTTGGATTCTGCTGCTGGCTGCTCTAAAGCTCCTGGGTCTCTGTTTTAGTTTCCCGCTGAGCTCCTCTATCTCCAGACTTTATCCTCTGCTGGTTTTTGCAGGGGCTGTTTACTGCAGAGTTACTGGGAGCTGACAACACAACAGCAGTAAAAAGAAAAGCGTGGCCCTGATTAAAGTGTGCCTGAATAGCATCAAATTTATCAAAGCTGATAAAGAGACTCTTAGAGCATAAAGCTCATTCTGCTTTTTGAGATCTTAACCTCCAAAGAAATTTTTCCTCTTGCACGTTTCACTTCTGAGCTTTGAAAATCACCTTCCTGGCACCCTCAAACCTCCCTGGGCTTTTTCTTTCCTTAGCTCCTGCTCCTGGCAGACCCCAGGCCATGGGATGGGACAGGCTGTTGTGCTGCATGCATTGGGCTCTCCCAGGGAGGCTGGCTTTTGTCTCCTGTTTTGCTGCCAGGGCCAAGTTTTCCTCTGTGCTGAGCTCCCAGGCTCTGCCAGCCACGTTGGATAAATAATAAATTCAGGGATACTCGAGGCCAGTTATATGTTATTGTTATGGCTGGACCCTTTCCTCTAGGCTGGGCTTTGTCACAGTGCTACTAAACCCTCAGAGTGGGTTTTTTGGAGGGCTGTGAGTAGCACTGCATCCCTTGGTGTTCTGGGGATGTGCAGCTCAACGAGGGAAGATGAACTTCAGACACTGTGCCATGTCTCTGAAAGCCAAACATTCATCACTTGGCTGCTGCCAGATAAATGATCTCAGCAATGGAGGGACCCAGCACAGGGTATCAGCATCCCTGCTGGGCCCAGGCTGCTGGCTGGGACAGCAGTGCTCTCCTGGGATGCTGACAGGGCTGCTGTGGGGTCTGCTGGAGGTGCCAGATTTGAAAGTGCAGCAGTGTTGACCACATTCCCTCCAGATGAAACACCTCTGGATGACTTTGCAAGCAGGGGGTCAGGAGCAGAGGCCAGCTGTGTCTCACAGGGTGAGAGCTGCCGTGGGGCAGTGCAGGATGCCAAAGTTGTGCTGCTCAGCTTCTTGTCACTGCTCTGTGTGTGCAGCCCAGGAGCTGCCCCAGACTCTCCCTGCCATCACACCCCTCAATGTAGAGCCCTGCTGCCCTTGGGGCCGTGGTGTCTCACAGTGATGGCTCAGCTCCCCACCACCCACAGCATCCTCAGTGCAGCCTCTGCAACCCAGGCTGGATCTTCTTGGTCTTGCCATTTCTCCCTCTGCAGGAATTGCAATCAAATAGCATCCAGCAACTTATCCGGAGGGAAGCAAAACTGCAGCAGAAGAAAAGCACAACTGGGACCTCCCTCAACCTCCAACATCCCCAGGCTGTTTTCTTGTGTTGTCCCCAGGTGTTGGGAGGGAGCTGAGTGTGCAGGAGCCATCTGCACCCACTTGGTGACATGTTCAGCTCTGTCCTTACTAGTGAGAGCAGACCCCACATCCAGAGCACTTCCAGACTCCTTCTTTGGGAGCAAATTTTTGAGGAGGGCACTTGCCAGGAGCTGCCTGCTGCTCCCCCAGCTGGGGCCAGCTGGCTGATTGTCTGGCTGGGAATTGGTCAGGATAGCCTGGCTCAGAGAGCAAATGAAAAGGAGAATTTTTTCTCTTGATGGTGAATCTCATCCTCCAGGAGCAGCAGGACAAAGGCAGGGCCTGGAGCACGTCCTGCCAGGATGAAGAGCTGCATCCTCCCTTCACAAGCCTCTTCCCTGGGGCCGGCGCCAAGCAGGCTGTGTGCCCCAGGCACAGCACACCCAGCCCACTCTGATCCCCCAGGCATGGAGAGCACAGACACATCCCCCTTGGCCCCTGCCAGATTATAGTGGAATTAATCATGCTGATTATATGCTACCAAAAAAGGAGGTGCTTTCTCCCTTCAGAACTGGCTCAGACCCCCTGCTTGCAAGCAGCAGCCTAAAAACGTTGTTTTCTGCCTCATCATGTCTCTGGGTTTTTCAGGAACTGTAATAATTTTGGATAAAAAGACCAAGAATGTCTGCAATCTCAGGCATCTCAACCTGCAGTGAAAGCAGGGAGATAACGTGTGAGTGTGGGCAGGGAGGTGAATCATGGCTCCAGCAGAGTGGGATGTCATCCCAGGGAGGGACAGGCTGAGCCACAGCAGCTCTGCACCCTCTCCTCTATCGCAGGGCTCTGAACAGTGTTTTTGGCCCCTTGTCAAGTCACACTGTTGCCTGTATCAGTTGGGATTGATGCCCTACTTTTAGTTCTTTCCCTGCAGCTACTCAGAATGGCATATGTATGTATCTTCTCCCTTGTAAGGGCCTCAGAACAGCATTTCTATCCTCTTTTCATTGCACCTGTTGAGTACTCAGACTTCAGCTTGTCTGCATACTGCATCTCAGTTTAATGGGAAGGCATCAATCCTCATTTCATGACCAACACTCAAAAAATTCCTCTGGAGTGTTTTCACTGCAGGAGTGAGAACTGCATCTTTCCTCCTTTTTTGTCCTAAAACATACCAGAGGGCTCATCAGACACCCCAGGACCACATTAAAGGCTGTAATTTAGGGTGAATTGGTGTTTGAGGAATGCTAACTGCTTATCATACAAAAATATGGGGATTTGTACTGAAACAGGCAATATGGGGAGCCTCGGAAAATATGACAGTGAGAGCATGGGGAAGGCAGCTCTCAGTAAGTCCTGAGTGCAGCAAAGCAGCTGAATATACTGTGCTTCACCCACCCTTATTTTTAAGGTGCAACGTTGCTGTTTGAAGTCAGCTCCTTCCCAGACTGTGAGCAGCTGGGCTGTAAAGCCAGCCCTGCTTTTAGCAAGGAGATCACAGGGCCCCGAGCATGAGGCATGTGAGGAATATGACAGCTGGCCAGTAAAATAACTCCCATGGCCTGTAGCCCTATGGAGCAAGGAGGGGATGTGCTGGGAAGGAGAGAGAGGACTCAGCCAGCCAAGCTGAGAGGGAGACAATAGCTCTGGTGGGATCAGCCCGTCAGGCTGCAGCGAGTAAAGGAGCCCCTGGGCAAGGCATGTTGTTTGCTGGAGAGCTACAAGATAGAAATTTTGGGAAAAACCCATCTTGTGTGCTGAGCAGGGGCACACTGCCTCTGGCAAGGTGCAGCAGCTCAGGGCTGGTGACACACAGAGGAGCTCAACCACCAGTGATGCTGGTGTGATGCCTTGGTCACTCCTCTGTGCAGCACAGCAGTGAGCCCACTCTGCAGTGCCTGCTGCTTCACTGCAACATGTGAACATGCTGACATTTGCAAATACACCTGCCTGTTCCCTGTGTGCAGCCTTTCCACCTTACCCTTGAGCATCTGGGCCCCTTCCATGCTGAAAATCTGATCTTCTCTCCCTGAGTGTAGGGTTTTGGGGTCATGTGGGCAAATTCTGAGTGCTGTTATGCCAGATGGATGGATCCAATTTTGGTGCCAGCCAGGGTTTGCTGTGTGAGCTGGGATGACCTTGGCTCAGAGGATGCTCACTGTTCTCCCCTCTTCTCTCTGCAGGACGGCTCATGCCAAAGCCAAGGCTGAAGGCTCTGAGCAGGCAGCTCAGGCAGCCAACAACGAATCAGGCATAGCCAGAATGATGGCCAGGGAGCTCTCCCCAGACTTCTACCAGCCAGGTAGGATCAGAGGCATATTCCAAGGGGGATCCTGCAGTTTCCATGGGGAATCCATTCAAGTGCTTCACCCACTTAATAACTCCACAAGTTGCCCTCCTGTCTATCCTAAATCCTCTTTTGCTCAGTTGCAGCCAGCCCCTTGCCCTGGCTGATTTGCTGCCCTCCTTACACCACTGTTTCACTCACTGTGTTACCACAGCCTGGAGGAGAACCCCACAGTTTCTTATCTTCTCATGTTTTTCCACACATCAAAGCCCTCAGAAGAGCAGGCAGGACAGGCAGCAAGCTCAGGTCTATCTGCAGCTCTCCTGTAGATACATCCCTTGTGGCTTTTTCTTGGAACAGTGTTGCACATTGACTCACAAACCCATATCCTGTGGTGCCTCAGAACAATCAGACTCTGCTAATTAGGGTCTGTAATATCCTATAAGAAAGCAGCTAATACAAAATACTATTTCCCTGAATCTCTATTCATTTGTTAGCATCACTGCTAATTATTTGGCTGGGAAAACACTTGGGAGGTTCCTTCTGTGAGACCAAGCACCGAGGATTAGTAGATGGGAAGTGTAATATTAGAAGCAGCATTGTGAATGCCATGACTTTTCCCTGGACTGAGTTAACTAGAGATATGCTCTTCCCGGAAAACTTTCCTGTACAGAGAGGGACAGTAAAAACAGAGCAGAAAATAAAATTCCAAGTGCCTACATTTTCATCCTTTCTTATTATCTGGATTTATTGCCTGGAGTGGGTGTCCCATGGTTACTGTGGCATGATCACAAAGCACTATCACAGCAGTAAAAATGGGGGTAGAAGCCAGAGGTTGACTTGTGCTCAGCAAAACTGGACACCTGCCCCTGCTCTGATTTGGGTGTCTCTGCATCTCCTGTACCACACACTGGCACAAGGCACACAGTGGGAAATGGGAACAGCTAACAGCTGAGAGGCATGCTGACAGATTTTCCTAAATTCCCTGTACTCTGACCTTGTCCTGCACCTATGAGCAGGGGAAATGCCATGCTGGAGGGCTGCCTCTTCCTCCTCAGCACCAGCAAGGCCTGTTGGAGCTGGCTTTGAGTGGGGAAACACCAGGGCACCCGGGCATGGGCATGAGCCAGCCTGTGGCACTTCATTTAACAATGGCTAAATGGTGCTTGATCCTCACATAAGCCCCCAGCTGCCACTCACAGCTCTACATTCACCCTTTGCACACTGGGGTATTTATAGCACAGAGACAAAGGAAGCTGGAATTCCTGAGGGGAGGTTTTGGACATCTAGCTAGGTTACTTTTTCCACCCATGGCGATTGAATGAGACAATTGAAACAGTCTCTGTAAAACTTGGGGCAGCCTGACCTCCACTCCTGGCTCCTCAGGTGCTGGAGCCTCTTGCTGCTGTTATGAAGAGCCTCACCTGGGTCCTGGCCTCTCTCAGTGGCCTTCTAAGCTCCTGATGCATGTTATTATTCTATGATTCTTTTAAACCTCTAAATTCCCGAAGTGCACAAGAATATATCTCTTGTCGCATGGTTGCACCATTCAGGAACAGACAGACAGTAGTCCAGCCTTGGGTTTTGCTAGGACTGAGAGCTGCTGCTCACGCAGCCAGGAGAGCCCAGCAGTGTTTGGTACCTGCATTTCTCCCTGCTGTCCTGGCAGATTGACTGTGTTGTGTCTGGCACAGAAAATCCTGCTCAGCAAGCCCCAAATCCCTAATAACTGTTGAGCCCTGAATTTCAGTTAGGGTATCATCCCTAGTAACTTAGAGAAGGATGTAAGCCAAAACCCTTGCTGAAATGTGCTGGGAGATGAAGGTGGGGAGGTGAGCTCGTGCCCTCTAGGCAGCTGGGGGTTTTTGTGTTGTAAATTATTCAGGAAGAGAAGAAAGCAGCAGGAGAGAGCAAGGAGCCTGGAGCTGCAGGCAGCCTATTTTGAGGAGTCTGAACAACTGTTGAAATGGCTTCCAAATAACTCACTTGCAGCCAGAAATAAATGGCCCTGAATGGGTCATCTGCTGATTGACAGGAGTGTGGAGGCAGAGCAGAGCAGCTGAAATCAGTGCCCTCCTTTTCCCCACTGCTCCTTCGAGTGGAGGCATTGCCTGCATAGACAGGAGGTAGCAGTGTGCAAATCATACCACTGACTTCTGAGAGGGAAAGGAGCACCAAGCCAAATTTCTCAACCACACTCAGGTCTGCATCAGTCCTTGAGATGAAGGAGATGATGGGAAGGACCTTAAGGCAAACAGAGGCAGTGTGGCTCCAGGATCTGTGTTCTTCAGGAGCACAGAGCAAGCCCTGTACACCTGCACTCGTCAGCATCACTGGGGTTCAGCAGAATGAGGCCAGAGAAGGTGCTTTGCTTTCAAAGCTGCTCTGCAACCTCACACTGCACAGGATGCTCTTCGTGTTCTCACTTGCTATGAGCATCACAGTGATGTGTGGGGACCCTTCTCCCAGCATGTCTCAGCATGTGGAGCACTGTAGAGGGTTGTTATTCCACAAGATATTACCAGTTCTTTAGTGATGCATTTTGATGGATATCTTCAGTGTCAGGCTCTGTCTGAATTCCTCTGACCCAGGCTGGGCTGCAATTTGTAGCAGGGTTAATAAGAAGTAAATATTTAATAATAGGTGAACAATTGAAGTGAAGCAAGCTTGCTGGGATCTCACAAGTCAGTGTGTGAGATGAAGGCAAAATGAAATCTGAAGCCCTGAGTCACCTTTCATGATGGTGCCAGGTAATTTTGCTGCTATTGGGGAGCTCAGGGCAGACAAGACATACAGCTGTATAACTTCAAACCCTGTTCCATATATAAGAAACATATTTTTCCTATTATGATGGATGGCACATAGATCATTTGGGGACCCTGCCTTTCCTGATGATCTTCACTGGTCATCCTGTGCATCCTGTGAAGTTACTGTGCTATTTGACACCAAGGAAGCCACTTGGAGGAGTTTCCCAGCCATTAAATAAAAAACCCCAACAAAATTCATTGGGAGCTGTCCTCCTTAGCTTCAGCACTACCCATCTGTGTGACCACAAGAAGCTGGGCTGCAGATTTTGTTTTCTTTAAACTCATCTGCAGCTCTTGCCCACTCCTTCAGGTCTTCCCAACTGGACAGCCCACAGTGAGGCTAGGAGCCTTTGGGAGTTCCTGGAGGAAATTTCTCCTGGCAGCAGGGTCTGGTTTGGGAGCACCTGCTGTCCCAGACTCCAGCTTGGACCCTCGCACCACGGTCCCCAAGCCCATTGCTGCTGGGGGGAAGCCCCGATGGTGCCCCGCTGTCCCCCGTCCGGCGCGACCCCTCTCACCAGCCCTTCTGTCCGCAGGCCCCGAGTACCAGAAGCGGAAGCTGCTGCAGGAGATCATCGAGAACGCGGAGCACGCGGTTAACATGGAGGAGGAGGCGCCGCGGCCCGAGGCCGCCCCGCC